CGGGAGGGACGGAAGGTTATTCAACAAGTCTTGCGTAGTGGAAAGGTGTCCCATGGGACCGAAGCCTTGAGGGGCGCAAAAACGGTTGTCGAAGAAAGCTCACCTTCGCAAAGGAAACGCAGAGGCTGGGTGGACTGTTGCCAGATGAAGGCCCCTGACCGAGTGCCGAGGTTCGCATCTAGCCTCCTTCCAGTTGACGAGGCTGCTCGAAGGCACCGTGGTAGAAGAAGACGCTCGGCTGCTCGACGACACCGTGCGAAGGCACCCTGAGAAGGTGCAAAGCTGCTCGAAGTCACTGTGCAAAGGCGGTCGGAGAAGGCGCAGAGCTGCTCGAAGACGCCGTCACGCGCAGCTCGAAATGGCGCACGCGGATTGCAATGGCGTACGTGCAGTTGGCAGTGCTGTAGGAGCAGCTCGCGATGGCGCACGTTTTCGCGCTCCGTCGAGATCGTGATTCCGCGTGGATGACAAATGAAAACGCCGGGAGGGGTTACGGTGTTGTTTTTTTCCCCGTCTAGCCCCGCGTGGACCCAAAAAAATTGTGGGATTGAATCGACACGGTGATTGAAGGAAAAGGCCGGGCCTGCACGCGGACCCAAAAACGGTGGGCGTTGCCGGCCATCTTTCGGGCCCGGCAGTTTTTTTTTTTTTTTTCGTATCGGCCGAAGCCCGTTTTTCCTGTTGGTACCAAGCACGGCCCTTCGATCCGTCGGTACTGGGCCTCATTTCCTTTCACTTGGCACCAACCCGCAATTTTCGTTCGTCGTTGTGAGTCCGACGGTGACTCAGTTACCACCATCACCGTGCCCCATTGAATGCCAGCGCCCTTCACCTGAGCTACCGCCATCGCCGAAGGCCATTCTCTGTCTGCACTTTCCACACGCAGAGGTATGGCCCATGACCATCTTCTCCTCCCTCCCTCCCTCACCCCGTTTCACTTTTTGATTGATTATTTTTTAATCAAACAGAAATAACTGTGTCCTATCAGACAAATCAGTTCGATTGGGTCTTCATTTTAAAACCAAGATCTCGATTGAATCGATTCGTTCGATTGGACACTTTTTCCCCGTTTTTTTATTTCCGTTTTTTTTTTATTTTTTTATTTAGCCAAGGCAGCAACAGGGGGTCAGGGGTGTTTGATTGATTGATTGGTTGTTTGATTGATAAATAGATTCATAGATTGGTTGATAGATAGATAGATAGATTGATAGGTAGATTGATAGATAGATTGATGTTTTTCGTTCGATTGATTGTTTGATTGATTGATTGATCGGGTCGGAGTCTCTGCCGCACTTCCATTTCAGTTGTAGATACGACAAAGAAAAAGAGAGAGAGAGAGAGAGAGATGTGACACACACACACGCACACACACGCACACACGCAGGAGCGGCAGACAGAGGCGCCGATGCAGCAATCTATCTATCAATCTATCTATCAATATATCTATCAATCTATCTATCAATCGATCTATCAATCTACCTATCAATCTATCTATCTATGAGAGGGTAGGAGGAGGCGAGGGGAGCGGCAGACAATGACGCCGAGGCAGGAGGAGGAGGAGGAGGAGGAGGAGGAGGAGGAGGTCAGAGGATGAGGGCGCAAATTGAGATAAGGAGGAGGGCCAAGATAGAGCCAAGATAGGCGAGGAGGAGGAGGAGGAGGAGGAGGAGGAGGAGGAGGACTAGGAGGAGGAGGAGGATGAGATGACGCGGAGGCAGGCAGTTGAGATGACGCGACAGCATTTGCATTTTGATTTTTATTTTTATTTTTTCAACCGCCTAATCAGTCAATCAATCAATGAAAAAAAAACGGAAAAAAAAAAAAAAAAAAAAAAAAAAAAAAAAAAAAAAAAAAAAAAAAAAACCTATCGAATCGATTGATTGGATTTTTATTGTCATTGAATCGATTCGATCGGATCGATTGAATCTTGATATCAAGATCCACTCAAATCAATCGATTCCATCGGATCTCGAAATCAAGATCCAATCACTTCGATACTTGTGTTTTTGTTTTTTACTTTTCGATTAACTGGTTGATTGATTGATCGACTCGGAGTCTCCGACTCTAATTTTTTTTTTTTTCACTTTTTGATTGACTGATTGATTGATTGATAGATAGATCGACTCGGAGTCTCCACTGCACTCCCATTTCAGTAATAGATACGG